TTCCTGCTGGCAATTCTCCATATCCTTGCCAATACTTGTTATTGTCCGTCCCTTTGATTATAGCCATCCTAGTGGGTGTGATGTGGTAGCTCATTGTGGTTTTGTTCTGCATTTCCCTAATAATAAGTGATCTTAAGCATCTTTTCATGTGTATATTGACCATTTATTTACCTTCTTAGGAGAAATGTCTATTCATATCCTTTTGCCTATTTTAAAATTGAGTTATTTGCCTTTTTGTCATTACATGGTAAGAGTTCTATATATATTCTGAATACTAGACCCTTATCAAATATATGGTTTTCTAATATTTTCTTTCATTCTGTGGGTTGTTTTTTCACTTTCTTAATAGCATCCTTTGAAGCAAAAAAAAAGTTTTCAATTTTGCTGAAGTTCATTTTATCTATTTTTTCTTTGGTTGCTTTTGCTTTTGATGTTGTATCTAAGGAACCATTGCCTAATCCACGATTATGAAGATTTATACCTGTGTTTTCTTCTAACATACTTAGAAGTTAGCTTTATAGTTTTAGCTCTTACATTTAGGTCTTTGGTCCATTTTTAATTAATTTTTGTATGTAGTGTGAGGTACAGGTCTAGCTTTATTCTTTTGCATGTGGATATCCAGTTGTCACAAGTCAATTTGTTGAAAAAACTGTTCTTTCCTCATTGAATTGTCTTGGCACCCCTGTCGAAAATCAATCAATTATAAATGTATGAGTTTATTTCTTGACGCTCAATTCAACTCTCAGTTCTATTTCGTTGACCTATATGTACCTTGATTACTGTAGATTTGTAGTAAGTTTTGAAATTGGAAGCTGTGAATCCTCCAAATTTATTCTTTGTTTTAAAAACTGTTTAATCTATTCTGGGTCCCTTGAATTTCCATATGAATTTTAGGATCAGCTTATCAATTTCTGCAAAAAGTTAGCTGGGATTTTGAAAGGGATTGCATTGAATCCATACTTTGGAGGGTATTGCCATCTTAATATTAAGTCCTCCAATCTATGAACACAGGATGTCTTCCCACCTATTTAAGTCTTTTTAATTCCTTTCAGTGATGTCTTATAGTTTTGACTTCTTTTGTTATTTATAAGTATTCTTTTTGATGCTATTGTAAATGAAATCGTTTTCTTAATTTCACTTTCTGATTTCTCATGCCTGTTGTATAGAAATACCAATGATTTTTGCATATTGCTCTTGTATCCTTGCTGAACTTGTTTTTTACCTCTTACAGTTTTATGTGTATGTGTAT